GAGACAGAGTCCAGCTCTATTGCCTAGGCTGGAGTGCAGAGGTACGATCTCAGCTCACTGCAACATCCACCTCCTGGGTTCAAGCAGTTCTGTGCTTCAGCCTCCCAAATAGCTGGGGCTACAGGCGTGCGCCACCACACTCAGCTAATTTCTGTATTTTTAGTAGAGACGGGGTTTCACCATCTTGGCCAGGCTGGTCTTGAACTCCTGACCTCGTGATCCACCAGCCTTGGCCTCCCAAAGTGCTGGGATTACAGGTGTGAGCCATGGCGCCTGGCATATTTACCATTTTCAAATTGATTTAAATAATAACTTCCATAAGAAGATTAGAATTGCCCTGCTGGCTACTTTCTCTGATAAAAATTTTTTTCATCATTTTTAAGACAACCTATGCTTTGTAAACCACCATCTGAATATTAAAAGCCATGTGAAAAAGGCATGTACAAAAATGATAATATTTTTGTTCATTCATCTACCTATCCATTCAACAAAATGTATTTAGCATCGACTGTCCCAGCATCATGCCAGGTGGTAAGGGTACAGACATAAATAAAGTCCCTCAAGGAGCTCAGCCTCGTTGGGGCAACCAACCTGTAAGAAAATAGTACCATCAAGTTTTAAGGATATTTTGAGAGATAATGATTATTTCACTTTGAGTCACAAGGAGAGGCGCTGGTGGAGTTAGGAAGACTTCACAGGGGATATGATGCTTGGGTCAAGTATAAGCAGATGTTCAGCAGGCAGTGGAAAAGGAGGAAAAGAATTTCCAGGCAGAGGGAGCAGCACACGCAAAGACATGGGAGTGGGAAAGTGCACAGCACATCCAGGTACCTGGGAGTGGTTCAGTGTAGCTTTGGTGACAGAGTGAGGGAGGCACTTTTTAACGAGACCAGAATAGAGGAGAGGATGTCTGGGTGAAAAGACCATGTGTTCAGTTTTGGATGTGATGCCGGGGGCCTCTAGGAGGTGTTGCCAGCAGGCATTTTCAGGACCACCTACAGACTTCGGTAAGAGAGAAGCTCCCTTAGCCTCTCTTTAGAGGGCCCTGTTCTGTCCTTCCTCCAGGGGTACTCTGCACACAGGCCAAGGGGACTTCCTCACCCAGAGCCCACACACTGCTACCCCTTCTAGGTTACACCAGATCCCCAGGACCACAGAATTCCTTGTTCAAACAGCCCAGAGCCTGCTTCCAGGGACCGTGGAGGAGGTGTAGTGTGGAGAGTGGACCTGAGGATGATGTTGGCAATGGAGATGGTAATGATGATGACTCTGTTCCTTTGTGTTTCTTTTCTCTGTCTCAAACACCCTTTTCCTCTTTCTCCACCTCTACCCAAACTTCTACGGATCACATTCTCTAGGAAGCTCCCCACTTACCCATTAGCTTGTCCATCATGTGCTTCCATGGTCTCCCATGTTCATCTTTAGCACAGCACAATTCTAGCACCTCATAGGCTACCGGCATTTATAGAATGAGTGGTCATGGTTTCTAAAGTGACCCACCAACCACCCTGGTTTGCTTGGAACTGTCTGGTTTTAGCACTGAAAATCTAGCATTCCAGGAAAATCTCCAGTCCTAGGCAAATCCAGGAGACTGATCACTCTTAAACTGATATCCGAAGTTTTTGGAGTGAGCAAATAAATGAATGTTAATATCAAAGCTGAAGGCGCCCAATTTTTCCGGTGTGTATGTGAGCAGAAACCCATTCAAGGTATCCAGGGGATCATTTCCTTCTCTGTACTCTTCAACTCTCATCTCAGCAAAACATGACCTGGCTGGATTCCTGACCCAGCTCCATTTTCCCCCATAATCCTGGAGGAAGGATAGTTTAACTTTCTGAACCAGGGCTCTTTATCTGAACCACAGAACAAGAAATTGATTTCAGTACTATTCTCTCAAGACTGGTACATAACTAGTACCACTCTAGACGCATAGAAGTTGATTCATTATGTAATTTGATGCCTTGGGATATCTAGGGTTTATTTCTTTTATCTGTTGGAGGTCACATAGGCCCTAAAATCAAGAATGCTACTGGGGACCAGACACAGTGGTTTACGCCTCTAATCTCAGCAGTTTGGGAGGCTGAGGAGGGGGGATCACTTGAAGCCAGGAGTTTAAGACCATCCTGTGAAACAAAGCAAGATTCTGTCTCTACAGAAAATTTTAAAAATTAGCTGGGCTCACTTTGGGAGGCCGAGGTGGGCAGATCACGAAGTCAGGTGATGGAGACCATCCTGGCTAACACGGTGAAACCCCGTCTCTACTAAAAAGTACAAAAAATTAGACTGGCTTGGTGGCAGGTGCCTGTAGTCCTAGCTACTCAGGAGGCTGAGGCAGGAGAATGGCATGAACCCAGAAGGCAGAGCTTGCAGTGAGCCAAGATTGTGCCACTGCACTCCAGCCTGGGCGACAGAGCGAGACTCCATCTCAAAAAAAAATTTAGCTGGGCGCAGCGGTATGTGCTTGCAGTCCCAGCTACTTAGGAAGCTGAGGCGGGAGGATAACTTGAGCCTAAGAGTGAGGCCATAGCAAGTTATGATTACGCCACTGTACTCCAGCCTGGGTGACGGTGAGACCCTGTCTTTAAAAAAAAAAAAAAAAAAAAGGTACTGTGATTGTCCCTCTGACCCTGACCTTGGTCATTAGCACAGATGGCTGGAAGAGGGAAGCTATGGGAAGGAAGTGTCAAAGGATAGGGCTTGTGTTATCTCTGACCTGCAAATTGAGGAAGAGGTGTGGAGAGGAAGTACATTCTCACTTTCCCAGCATGGGCAAAGGCAGAGAGCTGTAAGGTCTTACCAGTCAGGACAGGAAAATTCAAAGACAACCACCTCCTAGGGCTTGACATGTTGGTCATCACCAACTTTCTCAGTGGCAACTGCCAAAGTCAGGCAGCACTGTATGTCATGTTGTGGAAGACAAATGCTCTAGAAATAAATTGACTTGAAACGGTCTCAAATACACATAAACCACAATGGCTTTAAATGTAACTCTTGACTTTTTTCTCATTTTCTTTCTCTTCTAAGAGAGGTCAGCAAGGAAAGTTCTGCAAGAGAGGCTTTATGGAAATTCAACCTAAGAAACCTGGGTGGACTTTTATGAATCTGCTGTAACAAACGTATTTCACTCCTAAATACTTGTTTTAAAGCTCCTGGAGCCTTTAAACTCCAGAGATGGATACATACATCTCCGATCATGCACCTGTATTTCAGACTTAACGATGCACTTCTTATATGCTATACATCAATCCTTTTAAAAATTCATTTTCTAGAGGAGGTGATTATTCATTTTGTCATTCAATTTCCCATCATTAAAAATTTCATGCAGTAAAATCACTGCATACTAATGGGGTACTGTGTAAAGAGAGTATTTTTAGTGACTAAGTTGAAAGAAAAGATCATTGATGGCTCTTCCATCTGAGGATCTGAGGAGGAATCAGAGACAAATTTCTGAAGAATACCTTGGAAAGACCTGGAAGCTACCAGAATGCAGAGTAATGAAATGGAGGCCTTAGGGCTCCCTTTTCAGCTCAGATTCTGAAGCAGAGGTGCCCGCTTTTAAGTAACATTCTGTCTCAGTGGTATTTCATTCACAGGATAAAGTTCATTAAATCTCCTTTCCCCCCACCATCATGACGTCACCACATTAGCAAGGACAACAGAAGCACAGGGTCCTGAGTTTGCACTGACTGGTCATTCATCTGAAAGGAAGGTCACAGGGTTGCCAACGCTAATTGGAAGAGCATTTAATGCCTGGTTTGCATGACTGAAAAAAAGAGGACCCACCTCTGGCCTGGCAAAGGAAAGACTTTTGATGGTGTGAGAAAATGTCTAACTTGGCTAAAGGAGGTCAAATTCCACTGAAGCCTTCCAAGTGGGTGCAGATAACTGTCAGCATCAGAAATGGTCTTGCTGGGCAGGGCAGTGTTCTGTAGGGAGCTGTCTTCAGTAGGCAAAATTTCACCATGGCTTGCAAAAAATGCTTTTCACTGGGTTTTAAAGGTCCATATGCTTGTGCTTTCTACTGGAAAATTCTCAGACCTTGATATGGCCTGTGATGACCTTTTTTTTTTTTTTTTTTTTTTTTTCCGAGTTGAATTCTACCAACAGTCTTCTTAAGGAACTGCATTTTGAGCTTTAAACCTTACTCTTCTTTAATTTCCCAGCGTCCTCTCTGCCTAACGGGGCTGGCAGTCTACCTGGGGCTTTAGTAATGCCTATCCTCTTGCAACTCCTCCATCATACCACGCAACGGCTCTCCTCCCGGCCTTTGCCGTCACTTACTTCACCCAGAACTTGCTCCCTTCTTTCCTCCCTGCTTTTTCCTAGCCCATTTTATAACATTAGACAATTTAGGAGTTATCTTCTCTAGGAACCCTTTCTGGAACCTCTATAGTGGGCTAAGGTCCTCACCTCTGCATCTCATAAGCCCCTCTATAGTTACAATTATATTCAAATCGAGTTCACACAGTAGGTGTTCACTATCCACCTGTTAAATATTTCAGGTACGGACATCTTTGTTTATTTTGGATGGGACCAAGGAGCTAGTTTTTATGTGGTTTTTCAAATATTCATTTAAATCTGTGGAGTTAGAAACCCAAAAGGGCAAATTTCCTATGAAGGGGAAGGCATATTATAGTGACCAATTGTTGGAGTTCTGTCCTGTGCCAGTTACTTTAACACTTTACATTAATTCTAATCTTTGCATAATTCTAATTTCCACAATATTCTTTCGAGATAGATCTTACAGCCTGTATTTTACAAGTGAGGCTAAAAATTAAACGACTCATCCAAGGTTATGCATCCGAGAGAGGGACCCAGCTAACTCATGCCCAGCTCTGCCCAACCCAGAACCCTTTTACCCCACGATAACAAGGGGCCATTTCGAGAGACTAATCCCACTGAATCTCGGATACTGGGACTTTTGAGTGACTTTTCTTTTCTGGTAAATTACCCCCGGCAAAGAACGCGAAGAGGAAGTATAAACGGAAGACCCTTTGAGATTAGCCTGTCAGCTGAACAGCTACATTTGCCTGTATCCAGATTTACATGGGTTTTGTGAGTGGGTGAAATGAAAAACGTGCGGCTTCCATGAGGCCAAAACACTAGGCTAAAAAGCTGTTCAGGGTTCGTGTTTATCGGAATCTTTCAGCTTCATTCTTTATCGGCTTAAGGTGTTTTCGTCTACCCCTCAATAAGGGGCGGGAAAGTGCATGAGTGTGGCAGGGAAGGATAGGTGGAAGAGGAAGGTTCTCCAGCCAAGCGCAAATCCAGCGACTCTCCGCCTGGCGCAGTTACCAGGACAGCGCGGCCGGAGCAGCAACGCCAGAAGCCGCACCGTCCCAGCGGCGGCTGCGAGCTCGAGTGACGCATTGCAGGTACAAACCAGCCAATCAGAGGTCGACTCAACGACCATCGGGATACGCATCGCCGCCACGATGCTCTTCCGCGCCGCAAAGTAGCGCCCCTCAGGAGCCGCTCCACCGGCCTTTTAACGGCTCGCTGGGAAATAAAACCCACTTACGTCATCCGTTCGTCCACTTTCCTTGATTTCTTGCCTCATCGACCAAATAACTGTGAAGAAAGGGGTCCCGCGAAGAGTTTGAGGGGAGGGGGTTGGCCGGGACTCGTTTGCGATGTTCCGTTATCTGGATGCGGCGGAGGGATCTGTTGGAGGGAGGTGTTTATGAGGCGCTGGGGGCGGAGGAGGAGAATTAGTCCGAGTGGAGCGAGCGAGCTGACTGGTTGTGTGGTCGCGTCTCGGAAACCGGTAGCGCTTGCAGCATGGTGAGTGCATCGCTGAGCTGCCGCCGCTGGGCCTGTGGAGGGGAGAAACTGGAGCGAATTGACTAAAGAAAGGAAACTCGCCTCCCTTACACCTTCAAGGAGTGGTTTCTGCCAGAGGGATGGCGCGAAAGAGGCCAGGGATGCCCGCGACGGTTGTGTCGCAGGTGCTCCCCCACCCCCATTCTCCTCAGGGGGGCTTCCTCTAGTGAGTTGAGGGCCGGACGCACAGTTCCCGAGGTGGAGGAGCTCCTCGGGGGCTTGGCTGGAGGAGGTTGGGTCCGGGATGAGCGACAGCCCAGTGCACAGGAAGGCGAGAAAGTGAAGGAAGGGAGAGAGGGAGCGCAGAGAGCTTTCTGTCTGACGTCTAGAAAGGTCAAACTGGGGCCGGATTCAAACCCCCCAACGGACGGTTAGTGCGGGCGCCAGGAAGCGCCTTTGTTCGCTTGCGGCCGCCATGCGCCCAGGGGGCGGGAGGAGCGCGCGGGGCCCTGGGGCGAGCGCCGGCGCCGCAGTCAGCCCGCGTCCTCCGCGTGCCGGGATCCAGGGGGCGCGCGGGCGGGCGGGCGGGCGGGCGGGCGGCGCGCTGTGTGGGCCGAGCCCGCGCGGCGCAGGGAGCGGCCGGTGGGGGCGGGGCGGGCGAGCGCCGCGCGGGACCCGAAGCCGCCGCCCCGCTCGGCCCGGCTCGAGCTCCAGCTGCTGTGCTGGCACCTGCAGAACTGCGGAGATCTCCGCGGCGCTGCGGGGCCGTTGGCGGGGATGGGCGGGGGAGGGGGGGGCCTCGAAGGTTTCCCATCCGCCTCTGGCAACCCTAATCTTCCTGCTCCATCTGGGCCCTGGGGCGTCTTCCACCGTCCAGGCCGGATGCTTTAAAAAAAATTGCTTTTTAAAGTGTCGTTGAAAGAAATTAGCTTTATCCCTGAAGTCAGGGGCGCATCCTCGCAATATACATCCTGTTATGGAAAGTGTTCGACTCCAGCTAGGGTTCTACAAGGCGTTTCCTGTTCACCGCCTGAGGAAAGCAAGCTCCGGAGTGACTGCCTTCTGAAAGTCGGTCTTGTAAAAACAATTGGACGGATGCCTTTGAAGAGCCCCTGTCTCTGTCCTTTTCTTGAGAACAGTGTGCAGTCCTAATGTTAAAGAACCACGACCACATAAAAACATTGCTCCCCTTCTGCTGCTTCGAAAACGACCCCTAAATTCCGTGTAGAAGTTGCCAGGTCGTCTTAACGTTCACTTCGTTTGTATGATGTCTGTCTGTCGAATACTGGGATGGAAGAGTGTATGCGGGGGGAGGAGCAGGGAATTTTTTTAAGCATTTTCCGGTCACCTCAGACTGGAGATCATGTTCTTTCCTGGAAAAAAAAAAAAAAAAAAAACCCTAATGAGGGTGGTCATCTGCGATACTTACTTTGTGGTTCCTTCTGCCAAGTGGTTACAGCGCTGGGTGTGTCCAGGAGGCAAGGTGACATCTTAAACAGGAGTTGGGGATCCTTGCCAACTGAAACCTCCAGCCTGTATGGGTGTGGGGAGAGGAGTTCACCTTAAATAAAACTAGCGTTCATTGAAGTTTGATGGATTCGCTTTATCTTGATATTTTAAATACTCTGAATTTGAATGTGCTGGTTACATTTACTTTCTTTAAGATGTAGTTATAGGCATATGTAATAAACATTACAAGTTGTGGAGTAAGCTATTTTTAAAAATAAATGAAGGGTAAAGTTTTCTTTAATTAGTTTTGATAATTAGTAATTAGATTTTTCTTGGTGGAGTTGGTATCCACACTTTTGTGGTCCGTTGCCCAGTGTTAAGCTTTTGTAGTTACTGTTTGCATCACTGGTGTTTTGGGGGTTTTCAGTTAAATTGGCAGTTCTTACGAGAAGAGACAAAGTCGAAAAAAACAATACAAATTGACAGATCCCATGAGTAAATTTGAAAATTGCCTTCAGATAACTTCATAATTGAGGACTGAGATTTTAAATTAGGACTTCAATTAAAAAAAAAAAAAACTAGCCGGGCATAGTGGCCTGTGCGTGTAGTCCTGGCTACTCAATAGGCTGAGGCAGGAGGATCATCTTGGGCCCGGGAGTTGGAGACTGTAGTGAGCTATGATCACACCAGTGCACTCCCTGGGCAACAGAGTGAGACCTTGTCTCTCAAAAAATAAAAAAATTAGGACCCCAAGTTAAAGTGTAAAAAATTTTATATGGAAGTTAAGTAAGATTGCTCATATAATTCTTGAGTTTACATGTAGTCAGCATATGCTCAGTGAAAACGGGATTGCTTCAAGAGGACTTTGAGGCCAGGGTGATTAGGTAAGTAAAAGATGTAAAAAGGTAGAAAATTTTTGTCACTTGACTCTAAATAATTTTTCCGATAAGTGCCAAGGCCTGTTTCTGTTAGGCTTAGAAGATCAAAGGAGTTGGCTTTTTTAAAATATAGAAAGCTCTAGCTTCAGTTAGAATTTAGGCCTTTAGTAATAGCCCTAATTTTTATGAAGCCATTTTGTTCCAGTGATATTTTGGTGAGAGATGCTATGTAAGTACTATTCTTCAAAATCAGCTGTCTTTTTACCCTAACGAAATAATTTAGATTGCTTTTGATATAGGTAAAACAAATATCCTGACTTCCGTAATTGTAGAAAAAACTTCACATAGGAATCCTTTGTTGTATCAAAGTAGCACCTGATGGGAATGAACAGACAGGAATGGATGAAGGATAGCAGTTCGTGTTCCATTTCAAGCCTATGGGCTCACACATTTATTCAGATAAGAACTTGGGTTTTGTTTTTGTTTTTTTTTTAAACCACCTTTCACTAGATAAACTCCTACAGTATTCATGCATACTTTTGAATGGCATGTAGGAAATGTTTGATAGGTACTTAATGTATTCACTTCAGGTCACTAATGTAATACAGGTTCGTGCTTCTTCATGTTGACAGATCACCTATGGTTCTCCAAAATGAACATTCTAATACAGGAGGTCTAGGGAGGAACCTGAGTGTATACTAATGCCTAGAACTTTCTCTGGAGTGGCAAGAGCAGTGGGAAGAATTATATCAATAGCTACAGAAATAAGGGAGTAAGTAAGAACAAGTCGTCTCTCTAGTGAATTATTATTCACTTTACTGAGATAAACATACATGTTAATGAACTTGAGTTTTCCCAAAAGTAGAATTCTGGTTCTTCTAAGAAAATGGCACTCCATGGAAACAGAGGGAAGAACCAAATTTATTCCCCTTTGTAGCAGTTGGGAAAGTTAGTGCTAGGAAGTCTCCTTGATTTATAGTAGGCTTTATTCTGGATATTGCTGGTAAAAGTTTATTCTAAAACCTGAACTCTGGATAAGTAGTAAATACAAAAAGCTTGTCAACCTTCCAAGCAAAATTGAGAGCTTTCAGGTTATGTGAGTAATTTAGTCTCTTGGGAGCTTAGTTCATTCCTTGAAGCTGATTTTTGTGATCTCTTCCAAGATTGCATTTGCTCGGAGGTAGGGAGTTAGACAACATGGTATGAGGTCCCTAAATTTTGACTTTCCAAGCAAAACTGGACAGTGGTTCCTTTTGCTAACATCCTCGTTTCTTCCTAAGGCCGCTCATGTTTCATATACGGTAGCCTTCCCAAAATCCCATTCCCCCCGCCCCGCCCCCACCATGTAGAGAGAACAAACCTGTCTCCCTTCCTGTACAGAGTATGGGATCCTTCAACTTTCACACAGGTTACAGTGTCTGCCACACACTTAGTTCAACTTTAAGTTTTGAAGTGATGTCACCTGCTGCATTTGTCCCTGGGTTGCACCTTGTGGATTTAGTTTGCATAAATTTTCTCAGCTTAAACAAAGTTAACATTGAATAGATGGCTTAATAAATGCCATGCATGCCTACATTCTGTGTGGAAATTGAGCTCATCAGGTTGATATTTAACATTGTAGGTTCTTAGTTTAGTTAATTTATATAAAATAATGGTTACCATTTAACTCTTTAGGTTAGCTTTGTACATAGCATCTCACTTTGCACAACAACCCTGCAAGGTAAGTATTGTTGTTCTTGTGTTACAAATGAAGTTGACTGAGAGGTTGAGTACCACGTCCAAGGTCACACAGCTATTAAATGGCAGAGCTGGGATACTAGCCTGTGACTCAGAACTTGATGCTTTTCCCCCCCACGCCATACATGCCAGGTTGCCCTTCCTTTCAGAAATGATGGAAGTCCTGCAAAATGCAATAAACTGAAGTAACGTAGCTTCTATTATAACAAAGTAAATAATTCAGTAGATTTACTGGATTTTAAACCTTATTCCTTGGGTAAACAATCTGTGACTGACTTCACACCAAATATTTGTTGGTGGAAGATTTGGACTTTAGGGATAAAAGTAGATACATTTTTTTATTTTACAAACTCTGTATTTGAACTTAATTATTGGCTCTTCAATTTGAAGTTACCAGCTTTTTTTTTTTTTTTTTTTAATTAATTTGATTTACATCGTGGTCAAATAATTGCGGAGCAGGGAAAATAAACTACTTTCTGGATTCCTTCTTGAATTTTCTCATGCTGTGCCCTAGAGAAAATGTGAAGGCATTCCACATTAAGGTGTTACTTTTCCCAGGGATGTGTTCATTTAAAAAGAATAAAGCCAGGCAATGTTTATTTTTCTTTTCCTACAAATAAATGAATGGATTAATCATTGTATACTTGACTCCCATGTTGGTGGGATTTTAGATAGGAAGCTATTTCTTGGCTGTGCTTCTCAATACCCCATAAGGAGTTGCTTCATGGATGTATATACTAATAAGCAGTGAAAGAAAGTGTATGTTCAAAGAATACAACAAGGAGTATGGATATTTTGCAATCATCTTTATATATTATGGTGCTCTGAATTAAAAGCTAAAAGTTACTGGGTATGTCTGACACCTTAGTGCTTTATCTTGGTTCTACTAATTTTGCCTGCCCCACTCCCACTTAACCCTAGCCTCATTCCTTATCTGTAAGATAGGGGATAATAAGATTATAAGGTTATTATTAAGATTGAATAAGGATAAAATTTATAATGGGTTTTAGCAAATGGCAGAAAATATTTTCTGAAGAAAACCAAGTGCTATTAAAAAACATCACAAGCCTTAGGCTTATTTTGGGATTTTAAAAACCAAGAGAAAATGGATGGCTGAACTTTTAAACATTTGGTAAGTATTATAGTTCGGAGCTCTGGATTCTTTGCATTTTGTCTTCTGGGTGAGAAGGAATAAAAGCTTGTTGTGCCTTTTTCTTTAGATCACTTTAATTTCAAAACGATGTGTTTAACCATTTGTGGGAGTAATTTTCATTTTGTGATCCTGAAGCATTTTGATTCAGTGGGAATTTCTGGTGATTTATATCTGGCATAGAAGTGAGCTTAAGTTTAGCGATTCTAACGTTGAAAAAGGAAGCAGTGTTTCTATTGGATTCTAAATTATACTTTCAAAAATATTCTGAAGTATTTGTATATCTTAAACTTGGAGTTAAGACAGCTTAGCTTTGAAGATAAGAAAACCAGATGTGTGCCTTTTCTACCCAGATGTGTTTGTTGCTGGAACTAAATGAAACAGTTTAAAACCCTTGAAAGGTTTTAAACTTGTTTCTGTAACTGCTAATCTATATACTCAAGTCACTAACCTATCTCTTTGATCTCTTTGTAGGCTGACCAACTGACCGAAGAGCAGATTGCAGGTGAGAAATACTCAGCTAGATTGTACCCATTAGATTATTATTTATTGAATAGCCAACATCAGAATAAGAGACTTGTGTGAAATAATTGACTTTGGTATATGTCATGTATACTAACATAAGGGTATAATATAATACAGTAATTCAAACTGCTTTGGCAAGTGGGATTGTAAACTTGCCGGTGGAAGATGTGCAGGGCTAATTGTAATTAAAGACATGTATTTTAGTCTGCGTGGATATACTTTGGAGCCTGGTGGTGTAGTGGTGGTCTTTGTTTTGTTTTCTGAAGACTACCTTAGTATTCAGGAATTCTGGGCTAGCTAACACTCTTAACTTCAAATCAGTCTCCACAAGAAAAGAGGGCTAAGAAGTAACTAAAGCAGCTTGAAATGGAGAATCAAAAGGAATATTGAATTTACCCTTGTTCAAATTAGCTAATATTTTAACCTAAGAATTGCATATATAATCAATCAGAATAATCATTTCTCAAGTGAAAAAATTTAAGAAGTTGGCATTCTATTTTATAAATGTCACTGTAGCAATATGGATTTTTCTTTTAAAAAGCAGTGGCAGCTGTTGAAATGAAGCTGCTTAAATATTATCCCCTTTAGTTTGCTATGGAAGTATGCGAAATTATTACATAAAACCTGATGTCAT